GAAAGAGTGAGATAGCTTATTTCTGGACTTTCTTGAGTTTTATAGCTGCCTCAGGGCTTGGCTTTGCCCTGTTTTTGCAAAAACAGCTACTGATTTGAATGTATTTCTACAGTTCTCCAAACACAACCAATGTCTAAAAGAGAAATCCAAGGGAGGTGGCACTTCACTGGGCAAGAACACTGTCCACTCCCTAGTGTGCAGCATACAGTTTCCACAAGCTCAACAGCCCCTCTCTCATCTTTTCCTTATTTCATTTACCCATCCAGTGGGATCTTATGAAATAAAACAAAACCTAAAAGAAACAAAATAAAATGTGAGAAATCATGCTTTAAAAAGAAGTCAAAGAAAAATTAATACAAAAGCCCAAACACAAAGGAATACTTTACAATCAAACACATAAACATAAAATGCATTTAACACATACATAAAATGTTAAATAAAAACTGAACATGAATTTATGAAAATGACAACAGTAGCTCTATCTTGTGGCCAATGATTTTATCCATTAACTAAAAATGCACAAGGCATGCTAATCATTTGTCTTTAACATATCAAAATATTCACATTAAACTGTAATGCAATAAATCTAGAATTCTCCAACCAAGGACTGTACTATGCATGCATCAGAAAGACCTCAGACAGGTGTCCTGCCTTGCGCAAAGGCCTATGGTGAACAAGCTTGGGTACACAATCAAGTGCTCCATCTTTGGTCTGGTCAGCCAACTAAGTAAAGAGAACCCTGCCATGCCACGGAGTCACTCTAAGTAAAACACCAGGTTCCTCTCTAACCTTTGTTTCACACCTCAGCTCTGTGCACATCATCCCTTCTGTCTGCTCCAAACACTGTCCTGCCCTTAATGTCATTAAATGACTTTGTAATGGCAGAAAAAAGTGGAGCTGGGGTAAATGTTACTTAATTATCTCAAAATGTATTGTTTCTAAATATCAGTAGGAACTTAAAAATCAACAACTAAATATGATGGTACATTGAAACAGAAGTAAAAACCCCTGGGTCATGTTCTGTTCTGAGATGAAGGAGAAACCTGTTCCCCAAACATTACCTGACCGTTTAAGGCTAAGAACTTTAAAGGCGGCTATGTTTGGCCCTGTGTGAAATCCAGCTATCCAACTCTATAGCATAAATGCTTCCTAGAACAGCATTGTCTTACCCAGTCTGTTGTTATCTGATGCAGTTGAGTTATTATGTACATCACTGTTGACAGTCACCATTACTTGCTCTAATGACATTTGAAAAAAAACATGTGAGAGTTGTACTATTATCCTGCAAATATAAATTTCATCAGTAGGGTTTTTTTGGTTTTTTTACCTTGCTTTAGTAAGTTCTCAATGTTTATGAAGAGTAAAAGTTTATCCATATTCCACACACTTTAAACAACAGTTCAGAGCCAAATCTTGATTTGTGTTAAATGAATGGGACTTATGCTATCAGTTTCAAGACAAGTTGATTTTGACTGTTAGTAATTAAGTAACAATGACTAATTCATTTACATTGCATTTCCTTGCTTGTCCTAACCTCGAGGCATTCTTAGTCCTTCTACCCTGAAAGCAGGTAATGGCACATTCAGAAGCTGAACACGCTAGCTTTGAGCCACAGCACAATTCCCAAAGAGTGTGGCAAAACTCCTTTCCTCTGAAACAATTCATGAGGTTTAGTGTAAGACATCAAGAAAAAACAAAGGGACTTGGCTAATTCACACACAAAAATTCAGTATCAGTTGAAGTGAGTATCATTTCAGAACAGCTAGGCTTCCACATCAGGACTGTTCTACCTTGAAAGGAAGGCTCTAGGCTAGACCGACATTGAGAAGATGAGTTTCTTACAGTCACATCCACATGTAGTAATGAGTATCTTAAGAACTTGTAAGGAACATGACATTATTATTGGAATCTGTGCTCTTACTGAAGCTTACATCATTTGGGTCCTTGCTCCTTCTACTGCCTCGTCTTACACACATAAAATATCTCAAAGTGAATTAATATAGTTTTGCCGTACCATGAAATTCTCAACAAGAGAATTCAAAACCAAAACCCTATCATTAAAAATTCAGTTCATCACACAGTGTATTAATATCACAGCCCTAAAAGCCTACTGTAATGTCAAGAAAAATGCACAGCTGCAAAATATGTTGACCTTCGTGACTGTATATGCATGTTGCAAACTCCATGTAACAGAGTTTGAGCAAGACTGAGGATCCGTTTCTGCACATGGTACAAAGATGGCAGGCATTTCCAAGCCTTTCTGCAGTATCTTTACTGAGTGACTGTAGTTTATCATTATCTCCTAAGTAATTTTCTTAAGGATGTTTGGAAGTTACACGTTAGACAGAAAAAGAAGTATCATCAAGGTTTTCGTAGTCTAGAATTGAAAGCTGCTGCATGGTTGCTACCTTCCCTTCAAATTTCCTAGGCCATTCAGACTTCCTTTGCAGAATTTTGTTTTCTTAGATGTGTGAGATTGCATATACTTTTGGAGACTAAGTCAAAGGACAGATACATGTATTTACATAAAAACACACGTTTACACCACACTTTTAACAGTAAAGCAAATAATCCGCAAGTGAAAGCTTTCTGGCCTTTTAGTTTGTTCCTTACCTGGTCTGCTGCAGTGAAATCACACTGCTGTGTTTAAAGTCACCACTGAATTTTCATTTGAGAAGTTGTTAACTCATGAACTACTATTTAGTGTACAGTACTATGCAAAACACAGGTAGACAATAGATCTGCTTATATTCTTAGTTGCATCTGCATGTATATTAGCAACTCTAGTAGTCAACAGTGATGTCTAGAACAACCAGAACGGAAGAAGCCTCAGACCTAGGACCTGAGCAGTCTACAGGAGTCAAGAAGTCCACAGGGGAGTCCTGCAAGTCCTATTAAAGGTACAAGAATTAATCACAATAAATACATCTTTTAAAGAAAAAAACAGTTAACAGAAGGGAGTCCAAAATCAAAAAAAAAAAAAACAGAACGAAAAGAAAAAGGTTTTTAAAAAAAAGAGTCTATTGACTTTATTCACTGAAACATGGAAAGCAACCAGATAAAGTATGTAGAAAAGAAAAGGACATAGAAATACAGAATAATTGTGGGGTGGCAGGGGGGGCGGTGGTGCAGAATTGGGGGTGAGGGATATAGGAAGGCTCTGATAGGACATGGGTGAAATGGAGCAAGGAAGAGGGACGGAAATATAAAGATGCAGAACCTGAACAGAAATGCTTTAAAAAAATAGTTCCAGGGAAAGAACAAAAAGCTGCAAACCTGTTAAGCAACAGGCAATCTGGACTTAATTTGTACACTAGATGTCTGACTATTTGGAGTCTTTGAGCTAATAGAGGCAAAATACTATGGGTAGTGGGTATTTAGAAGATGATTTTTCACATCCTAGCTGCCAACCTCTTATCTGGCTTCTCAGAGTTCAAAAGGAGTCAGTTAGGCAGGTTGAGGCAAAGCCTGATTTTGGCTTGAATTGCTGCCGGGGCACTGGATTCTGAGCTTAATACTAGTTTTAAAAAAACACTGCTGTTATGTAAGGTGCCACTCAGACTTGCAGAGGAAAGTACACTAAGGAATAAAAATAAAAAACTCAAAATAAAAGTGGAAGAGAGAGAAAAAGCTATCCATCTTCCCTGTACAAGGAATGACAAAACTTCATTCATCCTTTAAGGGAACATTATGTATCTGTCTCTCTCAGATGCAAATGTGTCCAAGACAATAAAGAAAATAATTAGTTTAAAATATAACCTGCTGATACTTTATTTCCAATATCAGCTCTTCATTCAGAGAGTTTTGAAGTGAGCATTGTATTCATTATTACTCTTAAAACAAACATTATAATGATTTTGCAATACACTCTTTTGGGGACATCAAATTTAAGTCCAACTGCTCTCCACCGAAGAGAATGTGCTACAGAAAGTGTAGTTTGAATTATGTTATTAATACGGATCCAGTTGAGTGAACAGTGGAAATTTTTTTTCATCCTACAACTGACTTTCTGGAAGTACCACAGCTGACTATCTCATCGAGCTTTACAGACCTGTATCTCAGATACTGGATGACCCATAACTTCCTAAGAGCTTACTGTCATCGGGAGCTGGATAAAATGCCTTTAAGACCAGTTTTTTCTTGCTTTTCTATACATTAGAGAAGAAAGTATAAAAATAAAAGTACAATAGCAAAAACCCGTATGTTTATAGGTACCGAACTCATTCTGAAAGAAGAGTCTTTCATAAACACAATCCTTTTTATATGTAAAGAAGCAAACTTTTTTTCCTCCATTAACCAGCACACAACACAGAACTGAAGAGTTAAGAGCATCATAACATCTAATGCATCATAACATCTAATACATTGCCATATCTGGGAACATCACTGTTACAGGGATAGTCACACATCCATGGGTTCAATTTCTACCTGTCCCAAACAATCTCGATCACACCCCTTCTCACTGGCTATGTTCCCTACAAGCCTTCACCTAAAGTCATTCAAGGAGGAAAATGTTACAACATAGTAATCTTCTGAACTTTTTTCGCAAAGCAGGATGATAAATTTTAGTTGTTTGAAGTCCTTTCTTACTGCAACAGGATTTGAAATCATATATTCCAATGAGCTGTACATAAATTGGAGGTTCTGCATCAAGCTTTCTTTGGTCACTACAAACCTGACCTGAAATCTGCCAGAGTAAATAAAGGTTTCCTGTAATCATGACTTAACTGAATTCAAAACTAAGTTTCATATAGGTACATCCCACTTCCCAAATATGTCTCTACATACAACCTGCATAACATGTACGTAAACCCAAGCATTCAAAGGAAAGCAGAAGCAAAGGAAGTGCTGAGCAATCGAAATTTTCTATGATGTTAAGTCTCATTACACTTTCTCTCTTCATCAAGTACATATGCTTTATCCTAAGCACAATGTTACCTGGGGCCTTGATCCAAACAGAGTATTTTGAAACAAAAATCAATTTATATTTTTACTTTTTCCAGCCTGGAGGAAATTGAGCATAACAAGACATGTATCTCTGGTCTTTTTAAATGAACCGTGATCTATATGGAAAAAGCTCAAACTGCTGAGTGGAAGGGAGTAAAGCAAAGAGAAGACATAGTTGCATTACCTAAAAAGGTATTATTATCAAATTGGTCAGTTTCTTGTTTCAAGTAGAAAATTACATGAAACAATTAATTCCTAGTTTTATTTGCTTCTTGAATCTGAGCCACTGCTTCAAAGAGCAGTGCTGGCTAATGCTGTGGCAAAATGAGTACAAAATGTCACCTCATTTTTATTGGAAAGCAAGGGGAGGCTCCTGGATAGGTTTCTGGAGAATGTTTATTGCACAAAGAAGAATAATGTTTTGCCTCATTACAGCAATGCCTATTCAGCAGCAGAAGACAAAGTTGTCTGAAGAAATCCATACTTAGGATTTTGCAGATTTTGCATGCATCAGGCTCAACACTGCCTTGTGTTTCAGAGCACAGTAATATAAACATTTAATACAATTTTTTCTTAATTTTTAAATCGCTTTTACCCCAGGAAGCAATAAGACAGTATTTTTCATTCATGCCATTAAGAGCTCTAATGATATATGTAAATATTACTTTTTTTACCTAAAGATAAAAGCATGGATAGAAGACAAACAAATGAAAACCAAAGACCTAAAAACACACAGACTTGGACACACTCTTTATTTATTAGAGCTCAGGGATTCCCAGAAAATTTTGGATCTGAATTTCACTTTAGTCTGTCTTTCCAGATCAGATTTTTCAATAACTGAATTCACTTAGTAATTGGAAAAACTAGAATCAAAAGTGATTAAACAGTCTATCCCATGAAGTTGTACATTAAGAGCCTTGACCCTCTTATGTTCCTCGATTGCTTACGACAACAGGAAGGCAGTACACAATACAGTTATCATATTAACCTCAGGACTATTTATAGTAACTCAAAACTTAGAGTTTTTGCTCTCCTTTACATTTCTTCAAAATACTGCAATATCTTAGAAAGATTTCTTTTCCACTACCACTAGCTTTTCCTCTAATGTTTAGATTTATGCTCCAGAGATAAGGATACATAGTTTGTCATTTTATGGATGCTGCCACCTGTATGAGATTTCCAAACGTGCTTAATAAAATTGGAGCCATCAACATTAGTGTTACAGGCAGCATTCAATCTATTTAATGGTTTGTTTCATTGATCTACAAGTTCATAAAATGAGAAACGGGGT